AGGAAAGGGGATGAAAGGAAAGGAAAAAACATGGGGGGGTAATGGCAGGAAAGGAGGACAGAAGAGGAAGAAATCACAAGGAATAGGGATGAAAAGAAAAAGGAAAAGAAACTGCAAATAGAAGGTAAACGGAAGAAAACAAGGACAGGAGATGACATTACAGGAGAGGAGAAACTCAAAAAAATAAAAAGACGAGATGAGAGGAAAGGAAAGGTAAGACAAGGCAAGGTAGAGAATGAAGGGTAAGGACCAATGAGAGAGAGGAAAGGAGATATGAGAAAAGAAAAGAAAAGAAAAGAAAAGGATACGAGGAGGAGAGAGGATTAATAAGAGAGGGAAGGGAAGGAGAGGAAAGGGGAGGAGAAGCTATCAACACTGCCTGTTTATAAACCAGCTAAGAGCTGCTCAGCCGCAGCTGGAGCTCGGAGAGGAACGAATGCGCTAAATTGAACTCGGTGACACGGGTGGTGATTACTAGTTTGAAGTGTTGTTGTTTTGGACAGGAAGCCGCGTGGATTGACAGAGAGAGCTTGACTGTATGCATCGCAAGAAATCTACTACAGAAGCGCTTCCTTTTACAGTATCTGAGGTGAACCTGTGCTTTTTTGACCCGACGGCTTCCAAAAAAATCACTCCAAAATTATTTGTAGAGGTGTTGGATTGAGCTGCAGATCCACAGATGGATGTCTGACACAAAGTGCCAGTGAAACATAATGACAGATCACACACAGAGTGAGACCACATACACTCAGACATGGCCAGGCATGAGATGACGTTATTACAGCCATGTTAAGGTTATAAAGCCTTGGTGTTTTCAGCCCTGATGCTTTTTTTTTTTTTATTTATTCCATATTTTTCTGTCTCTTTGCTGCTTGCCTGCCCATGAAATCATCCTTGTCTTCATTCAAATTCTGCTCAGGGAATACTTTAAGAGCACAATCTAGCATTTGCTGTGTGCCTGTTAATCAGAGCAGAACATCAAATAATGACCAGTAATGTGGAAAAGAAACAGAGAAGAGAATAGCCGGTTCTATCTTTTCTCTTCCTGCATTCTTTTAATAAGAGTCAGAGTCGCACAATCACAGTTGCTGGATGGAGTTCCCTCACAGACAAAAGAAGGTCGGCAGCTCTAATTGACCATTGCCTTCGTGATAGCGCACAATGCTATCATCCAGAATATGTCATCTAAGAATAAATCACACATAGAGTTTTTCCTCCATTCAGCCACCATACTGTCTATGCTCTAAGAAAAAAGGTGTAAGATGACCCATAATGTCAGCACATCTGCCCCAGGGTGACCCAGAAAAAAAACTCTCCAGTCCGTGAAAATCGTTGCCGCCAATCACAGCAGCATCAGCGGCGATGTTTAAAGGGTTCTCCAACGGGAGCATTTTGAAGTGGACACAGCAATTTCTATAAAAGTGTAGTGACTGCAGGCCTGTTGATTCGCAAAGAGGGGACAGATGGAGGGAGGCAACAGGTGCGTACGACTGGTGGTAGAAATCCAAGGCTGAGAAATACAGATGGGGATGTCCTTTCTGAGATTGGCACACAACCAAGAGACTTACACTGTGACTTTATGGCTCAGCAGATGCCAACGTTGGCTGGTAAGGCAGCTACTCAGTCAGTTGATCAACGAGTTTCCATTAAATTTGGTAAAGGTGAATCATATTGACTTTTGTGATCTGTTGGAGTGCCCTCTTCCAACACTACAGGATACCTCTAACACTAATGACTGCATTTCCTTTTGCCTCAGCTGTACATGGAGATTATTGCCAACAAACTAATTTAATTTGATCCAATTTTATTTATATAGCGTCAAATTGTACGAAAGTTAATTATTTACACCTCAGCAGACACAAAGCAACACTATCATTTATGTGGAGTCGTGTTTGTGTCCATTTCATGCATAAAGTCCAATCTTCTTTTAGCTCTGATTTAAAATCCAAAGTAACTCCTGAGGGTAATATCTGTCTCTTTAGCTGCTAAATGCTACACTATGTTCACCAGCTAGCTGCTATATTTGTTTGTCTGATATTTGGTGCTGTACTGGTAGTGGACAGAAGGTTTTTAGAAGGTTTTTCCACTGAAAGCAGCTAGGCCCTGATGGGAACTACAATGATGAGCAGTGAGAGGGAACCAAAACAGTACAGTTGCGGTAAAGATGCTAAAAAAGCACATACAAGTAGTTATGTGATCCATTGTTAACATAAAAATATGCCACTTTAAAGCATTAGGTCTGGGTTGTGGAAGAGCTCTTGTTCATTGCTCCTTGTCTAGCTTGTAACAGTGCTCATCCCTAACAAAGATTATCTTGAGAAAACCAGCTTCTTCTCCACCTTCAGCTAGCACAGACTGCCTTCTCTCAATTTATCTTCTAGATTAACAGTGCAAGACCAGATGCACTGCTCTATTCTTAACATCCTGAAGCTTATACAGATGTTTTTTTCCACATCACTTGACCATATTGTGAGGCAACAGTCCAGATGCCAAAGGTTGTTCATTTTGTCTTCATTTTCTCATTGTCAGTATTACCCAACAGTTTATTTTCTTAAACTTCTCTATAAGACTTAATATTTTTGTATGTGTTTGGAGCTAAAATTACTTGTGCTTTCAAGTAAACATGCCTTAAATATCCTGGTGTTTTTAGTGTTGAAAAAAACCCTTGAAAGGAAAGCAAATGCTTTGTGTTTTATTAAAGCAGCAGCTGCTGGTGTTGGGTGTCCTGTTCTTTTTAAAGCTTGCTGTCTGAATGTCTGTACCCAGAATATGTACTGGTGAACGGCAATGTGATTACAGAGGAACAGGCAACTTAAATATAATTTACTTTTTATATGATCCAGAGAGCAGCTAGTCAGTGGCCACATGTTGTTTTGAAACGGTGGAAATGTGTCATTAATCAAGATCAACACACCATGAAATATAAACAGCTTAATGTTAACGTACCTTACAGAATGTCATGCCTGTGTTGCATTAAATATAGTCTGAAATGTGTTTCTGTAGCCATAAAGAACACTTTGTCAAAACATTGTCTTTTTTAAGTGCTTTGTGAATTTATTCTGAAGGGTGTGCAACTGCTTTTGTCTATTGAAAGACTCGAGGTGACACAGGAGAAGAGTGTGTTAGCAAAAAACATAGCCACCAGGCTTGTGTAGCAAAAAGAAAATCATTTCACGCCTGCTGACAGTGATGACCTGAAAGTGTTGAATTGGCTTTCATGACATGATAATGTGACCTTCATTTCAGGTAGTTTGGAAAGCAAATTTTTTGCACTGAAGCTAAAGTTAGCAATTTAAATCTCAGTGTGTGTGTTATTTTGTGTGTAGAGGGGCAGGAGAAGAGGGAGGGAAGGACGTTCTGAAATGCCTCGGCCAATACTACGCTTACTTAAATCTCTACCTCACCTCAGCATCCACAGTTAAAACAGCCTCTACTTGCTGCAGTGTGATAACATTTGGCTTAAATTAGTTTCTGTGGGACTCATCTAGAAAGAATTTTTGGTAATGCTCAGACAATTTTAACTTGGATTTAAAACTAAGCTTAACCTAATGCCAAAAACCACAGGCAATAAGTATACGTAACATACCATCTCTCTACTGCAGCTCTCTGGAAGACAGTATCCATCACTTCATTCATGACCTGGTCTCGCTCATCCTCAGCCTCTCTGTGGTTTGTTTACAAAGCAGGTCTGTGTTAGTGGATGTGAGTACGACTGAAACTGCTGTTTTTCTCATCTACATAGGTAAATTAAGCATTTATTTCAACCAAAGCAGGGTTGGTGATTGATAGAAAAGCGGAAATACAGACAAAGACTGTTTTGGTGATTTTTATTTTGTTTTAGCCCAGTTTGATTATCTGCAAGGTAAAATTACTGGTTTTATCAAGGGAGTCTGGTCGGCTTTAGCACCCATTGTCTTGGTCTAGTGGTAAGACAATTTAACATTGTTACCCCCTTACTCCCTAACATCACATCTTGTTCCCTTGTATCTACATATATGTACAGTATATGTACGTACTGTACTAGTACACCAAAAAAATTACACTGTAAATTGAGAAGAATTGTGCTGTACGTTGTGGTCCGCAACCCAATTCTGTGTCTCTGTGTGGGGGTTCCCAAGTCTGAAAACTGCATTTAATCTCGAAGAGCTTGAATTGTAATAACAAGGACTGTATATCAGCAGTCTGCATAGCATGCAGTATTTAGGCGGAAAAATCAAATTAGGCATTTGTAATGCAATCTAGTTTTAGTAATTCATGTACACAAATGATCTCTTTCCCAGCTCAATCAATACTAATGTCATTGCTTTGACATTATCAATACAGACCATTTATGGACAAATACAAGCAGAAATCAAAACTCTAGCAGTCAACTGGTGCAGTTTACCTTGTATTTGATGCAGTTAGATTAATTCTACTGTTTGTCTGTGTGGGAATTACTTAACCTTAGAGTTTTCCCTGCATAAATGTGCATTAATAAGCTTTATTATTACTGCTGTGGGAGTAAAATATAACATTCTCTGAATGTGTAGATAATCTGGAAACACCGGAGTTATACTGACATGTTCCTTTAACACAATGACCTACTTATCTTAGTTTTTATTCAGATTAAATGTATGCTGCGTCACAAGCTATCTGTGACGTACTCTGTATAGATAATAAGACTATAAATATTTATCTTTGCACAATGCAAAGGGGGGTAGACATGCAGATTTCACTTATCCTCTGACATACATTGAGTTTACTCACTATGCAGTTGCCACCTCACATTGTTTGACTGATTTGATGTGCAGTGAAAAAATATCTTTAAATGTCTTGTTTTGTCTGAGCAACAGTCCAATACCCAAAGATATTCAGTTTACGATAACATAAGGTCAAGAAAGTCTTACATTTGAGAACCCATAACCATATAATTTGGGGATACTAAACGCATCTTCCATTTCTACTTGTTACTAAGAAAATCTGACATCTGACATCCAATTCTCTTATGCCTCTCCCTCTAGCAACCTCACAGCATCGTCCAGCGCCGCCTGATGGAGGGAAACATCACGCGGCTGCGAGGTGAGGCCCGGGACCAAAGCACCAGGGTCCGCTCCCCGTTGGCCGACAACAAGGACGGGCCTGCTGACGCTGAGGAGAGGAGTGAGAGCACAGCTGACGACTCCACGGAGGAGAGGGAGTCTCTGGAGGAAAGCGAGAGGAGCCTACGGTCGGACGAAGAGGACGACAGCAGCGAAGCCGGAGCCAGACAGACAGCTGAGAAGGCCGAGAGCACGGAGAGCTCCACCCTCCTCACAGCTCTGGTTGTTCAATGCAAGGTACTGCACCGTGTTCAGTGTGTACTCTTGCATGTCTCTCTCCCCGCTCACATTCAATGCTTTGACAGTTTCTACTACTGCATAAACAACTGAAAATGAGAGAGAGTACAAAGACAGCACCATTCTGCTCTCATGACTCATCACTTAAGGCCCACTCTTCATTTATTCTCCCTTTACAACACATCAAAATCCTGGCAGGACCCTACGGCTGTCTGGTTGGATCAGAACAACAGATAACTGAGTCACGGTGACTAAAAGTACAACCTGGTTAACGTGTGCACATGTGTCCACAATTGATTAAATGTTGGTTATAGGACTAACAAGTGCAGAAGGGCTTGAAATGGGGAAAAAAAAACCTGTGTGGGCCTCAGGACAAAAAGTGGGAAAGAATAAACTGTATTCAAATTTGTGCAGATGCATATTAAAACACATACAGGCAACCAACAGGTAACCCTCTCACTTGGGGTCTAGTTTTTCCCACTTGTATCCCACGTTAGCTCTTCTAGCCCCTCATGGATGACTGCTCATTTGGGCCCACTTGACTGTAGTATGCAGTGACAGTCTCACAGAAAGCTAATCAAGACTATTTTTTAAAATTCATGACTGCACACCTCTTCTTTATTACATTAATGAGACTTATTGAGTCTACAGTCAGACAGCGCGCGGCTCCTTATTGATGATTTGAATGTGTCTGTGTGCTTATTGTGTAACAGTACTGGTGGTCACATTGTACAATATTCTTTTGTCCAACTCGTTTGGTAACAAGATCTTGATATTGCTTTAGAAATAAATGGGTGTTATTGTGGAAGTTCTCTAGAAAATAGATAAAACATGAAGATGTATGCAGGTTAACAGTCTGTATCATACAAAGGAATCCTTTTAAGGGACAGAGAATACAAGGTTTGCTGGTTTTACGTTGAGCTTTTGGGTGTTTACTTGACAACTCAAATAAAGACGACAGCTCAGCAATATGTACAATTGTTGCAGACTTTTCCGCACTAAGCAAAGGAGGTGGTGCATAACCAAGCTGGCTGTTAACTCTCTAGCAGCTACTGTCAATAATGGCATTTTTGCACCCTGAAAACATTGACCGTTGGCCCAGAGGCTAAATCATTTGTATCGTCAGACGATAGCCAATGGATTCTGAGCTTGCCTAGTCTCTAATTTAGGTCATACACTGGATCCTCCATTTCCCACAATACCGCTCAATTATGTCCACATCTTTCAAACTGCATATCCCAGGTTTATAACACACACACAATTTTAAGCCTCAAGCCCAAAATGACCCTGATGACATCATGAGGGTTACCCTCAGAGCCACAGAAGACTCCATACCAGTGTTTTACTGAGTAGTAGCTGTTGTGACAAACAACCTGACCTTCATGTGTAAAATCAGCGAAATGCCACTTAAATAAATAACCCAGACAGTGACTGCATTATCAGTCTATCAGTGTTTTAGTGTAAGACCGCGTAGCATTTCGAACAACCCCGTTAGTGGACAAAACAAAGTAGAAAACTGCACCATTATGCATGCAGTGACTCAGTATTCGTGCTTTTTTATTAACTGTCTTTTTTGAAGCACATTAGGCATTAATGGTTGTCTGGTTTCACATGGAGATGCTCCCTGTGGTCCCCGATCTCAACACTCCAATGATTAATGTATGCAGAAAGGTCACACCAAATTCTCAAGGAGCGATTCAGTCTGTCCTCAAGCTGATTTTTCATATCTAGCCACCAGAGACGGCTGGTACTTAACAAAATGTTGGTTGAAATGGTGATGTTTTATATAAAGTATTGACAAAAACGGACGTCCAACATTGAATAACTAACATTACATAAAAATGCAAGGAACAGATTCTTTCCCTCCTTTCTTTAGTCTTCATAATAATAATAATGCTAAAACTAATAATAACATTTCTACTTTCTACATTTCTTAACATGCTCTGATACAATATATAGATTTCTAAAACTGGTGTTTAATGCTTAAAGGATGGATTCATTTGTTTTGATAGTTGATAACTCATTTATCAAGCAAAAGGGCCCAAAATGTGCTGGTTTCAGCTTCTCACATGTGAGAATTTGCTGACTTTCTGGTTTTATAATCATTGTAAATTGAATACTTTTGGGGTTTGGACTGTTGATCAGACAAAACGAGCAATCGGAAGGTCTCATGTGGAGTGATCAATCAAAACAAATATACGTTGCATTATTAAAAAATCTAATTCTCTACTAAATTTTATTAAGATACATAAATGCCAGTATGAAGTACTTATCTAACATTTTGGCCTTTTGGATCCTGATTGGAGAGAATTGCAGCACTGTATGACACCAAGGACAGAGACATTTTTTATCCTTTGAAGGAAATCAATACAGTAATCAAACAGCTGCTGTTCCCTGTGGTGTTAAAGTATGTAGCACAGCTTCCACGAGTGTAAGTTTAAAATTAATAGTCCACTTTTCTGGTAGATTCAGCGTTTTCCCCTATTACTCATTGTGCTTTGCTCAGTTTTATCATCAACTTATTGAATGCAAAGTGTTCTTCAGTTACTCATTCGGGAAGCTATTTTTAAACTCCAGGGAGAGAGAGGGATTTCTGCACCACCAGGACTGAGACAAAAGAGCGGGGTTTGTGGGCCTGCTGATAAGCCGGTGTGCCCGTGAGGACAAAAGGGGGCTCAGCTCAGTCTGTACAGAGTGTGAGAGATCAAAACAAGGCTCATGGAAACTGAACGTGTTTATTTCCAAGGGGTGAAATATCCTCGGGTCAAGTGGATATGGTATTGATTTATGACGGGGATGACGGGGAGAGAAAGATATACAGAAACAGGAACCAGATTGGGTGCTGGACAGTAAAAACCACAGTAGATGTGGGACAATGTTTTAATATATGGCAGCTGCTCCTTGATTTAAGCAAAAATATGTAGTCATAAATGTTTTGATCCAAATCAGATCTTTGTCAGGTTAAATTGTTAGTACAGGTACGCAATGAAAACTCAATTAAGAGCACAAGAATCCCCAAAAATGGCGACACAGATACAATAATACATCTAATATATAAATAAACATCTCAAATATATATCAACAAGTGCAAGAGTCTACGGACATGAGGCTGTAAGGAGGGGCTCTAAGCTAAATGCTAACACCATGCTTACAATGACAATGCTAACAAGCTGATGTTAAGCAGGTACAACCAGTGACTGAATTTGACCAAAAAAGGTGCCAGTACCCTTATTCAGCACAACCCTAACCCTAAAAACAACATAACCCTAATTCTTTTGGCGGTTTCTATCCTTTTTAACGAGGACATTTTCAGTACTTATTAGCGTAAGAATGATGATTGGTCAAAATTGCAGGGTTGTGTAGAATTCACGGGAATTGGTTGACTATGCGTTAATTGTTGCGATATGAATTACGTTGCTACAGTAATTAGAGGTGATACACAGAGACGCAGTTACGCAGGTTTTGGGGGGGCATGCATGAAAGCATCGAAGTGGTTATTTTTATTATTTTGCTAATTTTAATTGTCTCTGCAAAAAAATACTGGTGACCTCAGTGGTGGGTACGGCTATATTAGACAAAAACCAGTGCCGATACTCAGCACTGGTGAGTACTGACTCATTTGAGGCAGTGGGTATAATGTTGACCATGTTCATACAAAGTACAGCTGAGGCTTTGGACATATTTGGTCAGAAACCAGAGTGTTGGGAAAAAGGACACACTGACATCGTCATCCTAAGGGTCATGACATGAAAATATTCAAGAAGTCACATGAAAGGAAACTGAAAAATATTACACATAACAAAAAATGCATTTACTTTTAACATACCCTAAATCTACATTACTGTTTAGATTGTGGAGATATCAGATATATACCACATATTTTTATGTTATCTCCTCTTTCAAGGGCTCTAAGTTCATCTCAGGAGTGATATTCATTTAATATTGTGGTTTAGAGTCTGTGCAGGGGTTACTTCCACTTTAAGAGTTTCAAATATGTCAGTATTGCCTGCTTATATATTAGTATTCTTAGCTCATCAAGGTCAAGCATTTTGACATCTCTGTCTATGAGGAGCTAAACCTTGTTCCATAATATAAATTAAGAACTGTTTCCTGGACTGGCATTTTATATGAAAGCAGAATCATTAAAAATAACAACAAGAGTAATGTGGCTATTTGCATTTGGGGAAAAACATCTAATTTATACATGGTCTGATACACAGTTAACAGTGTGGGGGTGGTGCCAGCATACTGCTTATCTCACATGCATGCGGAGCAACCATATGTGCTGAATACATTCTTTATTCGACAATTACTTGTTCCCACTTGTGTACAGGTTGCATGGCATCAAGGAAGAGGTTGCTGAATAGAAAAGGCAGTTCCCATAAACCATTACAATCTGCTGCACTATAATCTGCTGCACTATAGACTTTCCCCTGCTTTATGAAATACGTCTTTGTGACACAAAGTGCCCTGCGGCCAACAAGAGCAACTGTGAGATGCAGGAGAAGAGAAATGTCAGTGGAAATTAGGACAAGCTGCCGGTTAGCACTACTACTGTAAAACTCTAGCTTGAATGATGGGGAAATATACACACTTATTTGCTTTCTTCGCTTCTTTCTTATATCTCCAGGATTTCACAGGCTTTTTGTGGGATTGTTGCATCCTAAAATGCTGATTTCATGGCAGCTTTTCTAAACAATTGTGATGCATGTTGCAACATTTTTAGGCCTTTTCTTTGCAATGAAAGGAAAAACTGATAAAAGCTGCGAGTAGTTTGGGGACATGTGGCTCAACATTTTTCCTGGGAGCCTGCTATGATTGCTGAAACTTTCAGGACATTACAATGATTGGTCAAAGTTGCAAGGTCATGTATAAAATTTACAGGGATTGGTTGAATATGCGTTAATTGTTGCGAGGGACTGTATAAAGCTAGAGCCGGAATACAGTTAGCTTAGATAGTTTACTGTTTTTACACATATTTTTTGTATGGACGAAGCAAACATTATATAACATTGCTACAGTGATTAGAGGTTATGATGGCTGTATTTTTTAACTTTTGAACAGAATTAGGCTAGCTTTTCCCCCTTCTTCCTGTCTTTCTGCTAAACAATGCTAACTACCTCCATATTTGCCTCATATTTGACTGACAGACATGAGACTGGTCTCAATGTTCTCATCTCACTCTTGGCAATAAAAAGGGAATAAGCGGATTTCCGAAAATGTTAAAATATCACTTTAAACTGATTTTTTTTTGCCACTTTGGGGCACACGCTGTAAACTTGCATACAGTTGAGAATCACATCAAGCAGAATTAGTGCACAGTAGCGTTTTAGAGCTTTACTGCTGAAAACAACTGTTTTCTGGTCAAAAAACGACAATATGAGATTAGTAAAAGTGAACTAAAGCAGTAAGGTTGGTTGCTAGAAAACCAAAACTATGACCTGAAAGATGTTAAAAAGCTTTGCAAAGTGTCTGATATTTTACATGGGGTTGTCCATACGAGCAACTGTCACTTTATATTATAAAAAACATTGATTAACTGCTTTAAAGTTAAAAATCATCATTAACTCTGCAATGCAGTGAGCTTTGAGTTTGGTTGTTTGGTTGAGTTAAATGCATTACTCACTTGATTAATATTTTATGCTGTAGTGACTCTTTTGAGATCATTAAGTCTAAAAAAAAGTCCACTCAACAAACTGAAGAATCTGCATCCTGTCGGTAAATAGAGTCAGCAACATGAACTTAAAAATCAGTTAATAATAAAAAAAAAAATCTGTGTGATCTGTAATGGTAAACAGAGCCCCTGTTGGTTTATTTATAACTTGATTATTAACTGAACCAGACGCCTGCGGCAATTAACGGAAGAGTTGTGATTTATGGCTCCAACACAGAATCAATACAGATCAAGTTAAAAACACAAAATAACATTTGGCTCAAAAAACAAGGAGCTGGATTGGAAATACTGCACCACTGGGAGTTGATTAACAGTCGACTTGGACTTCATTTTTCAGTTTGGCTGAACTGAATAGATTTGTTCAAAAGAAAAGAGATCTGTGGTTTTCAAAGGCTCCCCAGAACTGTGTTAATGTGCTGTTGTGACTGGTTGTTTCCTCGCATGCGTTGGTGCCAGACTGAAGTGGAAAAATCACACTGTGACACCAAACTCTTCCCTCTGTCTTCCCCACAGTGCTGCGAGACTGAAGTCAAGGCATCCATCAACACTGGCAGCCAACATAACCACATCTCCACCTCCTGCTGCCAGAGGCTGGGGTAAGAAATGGCCTGCTCTAAACTACAAATACACTCAGGACGCATATATTAGCTGCCACCTTTTACAACTTTTAAAGGAATGTACAAAGTGCTTTGACAATCAGATCAGTCAAAAGCAAATACTGATTTTTAACATTGACAAAATTGGCAAAGAAATAAGCTTTACGGAGAGATTTAATAGCCTAAACTTGACAGCCTCTAAGACGCTTTAATACCCGACATCACCGTCATCTTTAAGAAAAGACATTAAAATGCCAAATAAAGCTCCGTCTGTGGCCTAAGAGTATTATGAGGATGTGACATTTTGTTCTCATCTTACTTTCATATCAACTCTAAAGGTAAAAGGTAAAGAGTGAAAGCTCATAAAAATGGATGTAGTTGGTCTTCAAACTGCTAGTTCATAAAATCTCAGCTACACAAACCTTTGATTGACATTTTAATAAAAAGCTGATCAAATTTAGAGTGACATTTAATGAGAAAATCTACTTCTGAGATAGCAACTGTAAGTTTTTCTGTGTCTGTGTGTATTATTAGACTGGTGCCCAGTCAGGACAGTTCACCATGTGGTGTGAGCAGCTCAGTGACAGGTCTGCAGCTGCAGTTGGGCAGACAGACGGTCCAGTGTTCAGCCTATGTCCAAGGTAAGAATATAAGATCACACTGGAAAAGATTTGGATTTCTTACAGGTTCTATGAGGCTATACTTGGACACAGTGGTGCATGCTAATGTCAGCATGCTAATGACTGTGTTCACCATCTTAGAGCGTGTTAGCATGCTAAAATATACAAATAGGCACTTCACAAAGTGAAACTGATGCAAATGTCAATTTTGCAGGTGTTTGTAAACCAAATGTGTTGAGTGATAAATGAGAGGTCCAGTGTGCAACATTTGGGAGGATCTATTGGCAGAAATGGAATATAATATTCATAGGTATGTTTTCATTAGAGTATAATCACCTGAAAACTTGTTGCCTTAGTATGAGCGTTTTTTATCGACAGGGGGATCAGGTCCTCTACAGAGTCCACCATGTTTCTACAGTATCCAAGAACGTACAAACCAAACACTGTTTTGTGGCCACACTGTATATGATGCACGACATTTTGTCTATCCTGTAGATGTTGAGAAATGTTACTGGATGATCGGGATAACTTTGCTTCCTGCTGGTTGTGCTAGATGAAAAGTCCAGTAGTTTTTTTTAACTGCTGCTAGCGTGGCTACAAACACAATGTTCCAGTTGTCACAACACACTAGTCCTATGCATAAATACAGAAGAAATGTAATAGAAAAATATGAGTTCCCCTGCTGTGTCGAGACTGCAGAGATTTTGAGCTGGATATGTGCTCGTCTCTGTACTTAATATTCTTAATACATTGCCCTCTTAAAAGCATCCAGGCAGAAATTACCATTAAATAAAAGGGCAGCGAGGTCGATAGGAATATGTTACAGCAGTAATTAACAATATTTTCAGGAAAATAAATGCCTCTTTTGCTCATCTTTTCCACATTATATTGACAATTCAAACACAATAATCTTGTATGCGCACTTTCTAAAAGCTGCTGCACTAAGAGTGCCAGGTATCTTCTTTTGAGGGAAAAATCCCCTGACGCTGAGTGTGGGAGGATAATTATCATGAACAGTAGTTGTCATCACGGCTGAAGAGACAAAGAAGGAGCTGATAAGACCAAACTTTATAGACAGAAAATCCAAGCACTGAAGACACTGTTTACTGAGGAATTATGTTTAATTTGTCTTGTTTTTATGAAAAACTTTGGTGATAAGGTCACTGGTGCTGTGCGTTACCATCTCTGCAGGTACCGCTCAAAGACAGACAACATCAATTGCAGATAATACCGTAGTTTCCTTTTGCATCACTATCTATCTGTAGAAGGGATTATCACAGTTTGTTTGTCACGAAGAAAGCTGATTTTCTTTTAAGGACTTTATGGTTTAAGGTTTATGGGTGTTGAGTTGGGTGCTGTATAACAAAGCTGCAATTCACTGTTTGTAAAGTGATGATAAAATACAAGGCAAATATGTATTCTAAAGAAATGATTCCACATTTTGGGAAAATACAAAATGCTTTTTTGCAGAGAGTTAAAGGGGATCAGTACCACTCCCACGTTTGGCTGGTAAATATGAAGCTACAGCTAGGAGAATGTTAGCTTACCTTAACAGAAATAGTGGGTACAGGGGAAACAAATAGTAACAAAAACTGCCTACGAGCACCTTAAAAGTACGTTAATTAACACGTTATTTCTCGTTTACACTTTGGTTTGTATAGGGATTAAACAAACTAGATATAACGTGTTAATTAGCAACCTTCAGAGGTGCTGATATATTTGACAGAGCAAGGTGGCTGTACCTCCATATGTGAGTGGTTTCAAACATCTCAACTAACTCTCAGCAAGAAAACTACTCCTTCAAAATCAAGTCTTATATCCAGACTACAGAGCCCCAAAGCATACAATTATAGAAATATTGTGTCCTCACTTGGTCAAAAAAGCCCTTGAAGATTCATCCGGATCTTCGCCTCATTATGAGGGCATTTTGTCCTCGCAAACACAACAGAACGAGAGCACACACGATTATTTATGTTGCAGTTCTTCTCTGCACCTACTCTTAATTCCTCTGCACCAGTGAATACTGACTCGAATTCAGTCCCTAAACCCAATGCCTGACTCTTCCACAGACATTAAATTCTCACCCGGTTCCAAAACTGTCACTTCGCTGCTACAGAAGTCATACGCACCCTCACAAGTACTCGTGCTTATTAGCACTCATTAACACAAGAATGAATAATTTAGTTGTGTTGATGATTTAACCTGGATTCATCCTAATGTATGCATGTTCAGATGAGGGTTTGCTTTCATAATAAAACTTTTTTCTCCCTATCTTTCCTTTCTTCTTTCACTTTCAGAGGATGAGACGTTTGAGCTGTGCCTGGGTCTTCAGACTCTGTTGGAACTCAAAGTAAGGTCCTTATGTGCTTTGCTAATATTTTGTGGGCCTTACCATGTCTTTTGGTGTGTGTGTGTGTGTGTGTGTGTGTGTGTGTGTGTGTGTGTGTGTGTGTTTTAAAGAACCAGTTGCCTGAAATGGTCACATGGTTTTGAATAAGCAAAAGGGACTAAGAAGAAGAAACCTAAATGCTAGTACAAAAATGAACACTTCAGGGGGAAAGATGGAGACACAAGCACAGATTCTTAAAAAGAGATGTACTGGATGTGGTGTTATCTAGCGGCCAGGCTGGGTAGATTTATTTTAGTGGCACAGCTTTTGTTCAGATGCCCACTGTGCAGGTAAAACTCAGATAAGAACGAATTGAGGACACCTCGTAAGGGTTTTTTTGAATTTGCACCTTTGAAAATGCAATTTGAACCCCATGAAAAGACTATCTGGCAATCTGAAGATAGTGTTCTCTCTTATTTCAGTATTACATGTGCAGCAGCTGGTTAATATCCACTATCTAATTAGAGTGTGACTTGAGGGTATGAAAGGAACATCAGCTCTAATTTTGTAAATGAGCCCTTAAGGACTGTGTAATGTAAGATGATCGTTTCCCTTCAAGCTCCTCCTGTACTTTCTCTGAAAACGTTCATAAACAATATAGTAATTAATTTGGATTAATGGTGTAATCACATGGTTTATTGAAATGTTGTTTAACACAGGGACTGGAAAAGCGACTCCTCTCTACTGAAGTGTTACTAAATTATTTTTTAATGTAATTTACAGCTTTTGATGGTATATTTTTGTTGTTATTAGAGACATTTAGGGCAGACACAATTTGTTGTAAATTACTTTTAAGGCAAAAATGCCAAACATTCCCTAGTTCAATCTTCTCAAATGTGAATATTTTTGAATTTTGGGGGGTTTTGGACGATTTGAAGACAACACCTTGGGCTTTAGGAAGTTGTGTTTGCCAGTATTTTCTGGCTTTACTGAACAATTAATAGAAAAAATTATCTACAAATTCATTGATAATGAAAGTAACCATTAGTCGTTGCTCTAGAAAATTAGATTAATCAGTGAAAATTGATGCAGCCTATGTGCCCATGTCAGACATTTTCCACACTTTAACCTACACGTAGTGGTTTCAAATGTTCTATGTAATTGGTGAGATAATTATATCATATATAGAATATATATAACTAACTTCTGGAACTTTTGCAGGACAACATCAGTTATCTGGCTGCCCGGTTGAACTAGAAATAATCTTAAATCTTAGTGGAAATTAGGCTTTTTATACCCAGGAAAGCTAAACCACGAACTAATGATTTGGGTGAATGATACAGAGGTTATGTCCACATACTGTACAAAAGCTGTTTACACTGAAAACTATTACTTTCCATTGGCAAAAGCCTGATAGGAGGAAAGTATTCTCAGATTGTTAACTTTGAGTAAATTTAGGGACTGAAGTGGTAAAACTATCTTCAGACTCTGGACCCCCCCCCATGTTGGAAACCACTGATGTAGTATGTTTCACTATGTGTGTTTACAGTGCTGCCTGGACCTGAGCAGTCAGGTCCTGAAGCTGCAGGACTGCAGCGAGGAGCTGCCCTTCCTGAACCCCTCGACCGACAGCCAGTGCCAACACGACACCAACGAGAACCTGTGAGCCCGACTCGACGGCGGCGACCGCTTCCTAAAAATCTCCCACTGTTTGCGGGAACGTGGCGTGATGCCAAATGTGTCTGGACTGTCCGATCACAGTGTCTCACACTGCCAGAACATGGATGAGCATTCGCCACCGTCGTTCTTGAGTTTACATCATTGTGTTTGTAGAATTAAGACATTCACCATGATTATCTCTTATATTAAATTAGTCTAGTTCAGAGAGCGGATGAAAGCCAGTTATGAGCCGATCCGATCTGTGAGTTCAATCATTCTTTATGATTATACTGTATATTCAAACCAATTCCTCTGTTGAGCTGCTTGGGTAAACTGACGCTCTCTTAAAAGGGAAAACCATTATAATCATTTAAAGTGAACTTTGGTGGAATATTTTGTGATTTGGCTGTACAAAAGTTACTTTAAATCATCAAGTAAATGAAGAAAATGTTAATTGTAAACTTAAATCATTTCAGTTTAGACGATGTTAAAGGAACAGTCTTAGATTTTGGGACATATGTTAGTTCATTTTCTTACCAGGTTATATGAAAAGACACCACACTCATGTCTGTACGGTAAATATGAAGCCAGCAGCTAGTCAGCTCAGCTTAGCATAAAGACTGGAACTGGGGAATCAGCTAACCTGGCTCTGTTCAAAGGTAACAAAATCCGCCTAGAGGCACCTCTAAAGCTCACTAATTAACATCTCTGTTTAATCCATACAAACACTCAAACGTAAAAACATCAAGTAGCTTGACTTTTTTCCATTTCAGTGTTTCCATGGATTAAACCTGCATCGTGTTCTTAATGTGTTAATTGAAATTGATTTTAAAATGCATGTTACTTAACAAAGTTTTCACAATATTGAACTATCTGATACAGTGAGCTATTTCACTATATCTGTTACTTTCAGCCTACTATTTCAACAGTTGATCCATTCATTTCAACTGTTTGCTCTTTACTTTTAGATTGCTATTTCAAGTGTTTATCCGTTACTATCTAACTGAATGGCTAATCCATTACTTTTAGCTTTTTCCCCTTTTATCCATTCAATTTAACTAACTGCTCATTACCTTTAGCTATTTCAACTATTTATCCATTAGGCTTACTTTTAGTTAACTTGTTCAACTTGTCTTTACTTTTAGTTAACTGAACTGTTAATTCATGACTTTCAGCTGCCTTTTTCAATCATTTACCTATTACATTTAGCTGTTTCACTGTGTATCCATTAGCTAACCATTTCAGCTGTTTATCCATTACTTTTAGCTAATTACTTCAAATATTTATCTGAATACTGTTAGTTATTTCACCATTTATCTATTCATTTGAACCATTTCAGCTGTTTAACATAACATGGTAATTTCTGAGCTTTAGAGGTAGTGGGAGATGGTTATGAGAGTGGTATCGATCATATCAACACTCTCATCAAGAATGTGAATAAGCATATTTCACAAAATGTCAAAGTATTTCTTTAAAAATCAACATGACTCATCTAAAAAGTGTCGGTACTCAGGATGCCCTTTCCAGTGCGCTTAAAGGAAATTTTGAGAAGCCTTGAAGTTTTTTTTTGAAGCCTTGTGTTAATTAGGTTTGGATCAGGCTACCTCTTTAAGGACGGGTTCTCATCTAGAATTTTAAGAGAGATCTGAGGTAAACACCGCAGTTTCTGACGTACTTTTATTCAGCTTTGTAAAGCCCCTCTGCTCTTTCTTCCCCCATCAGAGGACTGATGTGGTTAGGTTTTCCAGGAGCACACGACCAGTCTGTCACGATAACCTAGACTGAATTACAGTAGTTCCCTATAAGTCCCTTCTAATAAAAATAGACTTCAGGCCAGCCAGCAAAACACATTTGAGTCAGACTACAGAAATATCAAAACATTCCATCTGCATGACTTTGTAAAGTTCTGCCTTTGTATAAGTCTGCATGTTTGTGTACTAGTCTGATTGTGTCACGTTGAAAGTCTGAAGGGGCTGTATGTGTGTGTGTTTACGTGTGCATGTGTGTGTGTGTGTTAGGAGTCGAAGCAGGGTTTTTCTACCCTGTTTCGGCTTGTGTGTCACATGGGAAAAAGTGGAACAAGTCCTATCTTCCCTCCAAACCGGTCCGCCGAGCTCCGGTCAGAAAAAGCTGCCAAAAGCCGACCCCAGCTGCCTTCCCTCCCTGCCTCTTTCGGGAGATTTTCATCACTCGGCTGAGGCTGCACTCTGTGCCAAGGCCCCTCTTCAAACTCATCTTTCTCTTTATTCAGAGGACCGGTCTTCTTTGTGTATTTACCACCTTTTTTGGCTGACGTTACTCACTTTGATGCATCATGTTTGCTGATTTGCCTCTCACAAGAGAACGAAAAGTAACTCCCCACTACAGTGCCACCTGCCTCTCTCGTCTCTCAGTGTTTTCATAGTGTGGAGAATCAAGAACTGCCTCAGATCATGCTCTGCTTTAACAACACCTGAGCCGTGCCGTGCTTTTGACTGTGCTACAGTATCCATCTGACCTCTCCGCGGAGGTCATCCACGCGTAGATTGGCAATGTTTGTTTCTTTTTGATGTACTAGTGACCTTCCTATGCTGTATGAGAGGAAATTATGTATGACAGAAATTTATTTTTGGTGTTTCTCTTCTTCTGAACAGTATTTTCTCTGCCTAATAAAATATGTATTCTGGCTAGCTCCGTTTGTATTCATAATTTTTTATGTTAACTGACTCACCGCAGAGGAGTGATGCTCCTATTTGGAAAAGCAGAGCAACATTATGTGAAAGGGCAGCCGTTTAAAATCTCTAATCTCCAACTGTTTGAATTATGCGAATCACCAGACTGGTTGTGGGAGGGCTCCACTAGAAGACAGCCAGAGCAGCCAGTTCCTAGTTTCATTGGACCTCACATTCATTCCCATGGTCTGTACTTGCAAAACACCCATGTACTGTATGTGCCCCTCACTGGTACATCTCTCGCTATATAAAGAACCATGTCATGTCAGAACAGAGAAAGCAGATGTTCCCACAGCACCAGAGGGCTTCAACAGTTGACCCCCACCATCGAAGGTTCCCATCTCGCCGTATTGCCCTTCTTCCATGACACAGATAGAAAGACAGTCCAAGTTTGTCCACCAGAGCAAGTCTCAAGGACTGTAGGGCAAGTCCATGTCAAGTATCAGGTCTTCCTAACCAAAGTAATAATGCCTAATATTTAAATTTTCAAGCTAAACTTGTTCAACAATTAACCAACCAATAGATATTTAGATTAAAGGACCCATAGTCCAATAGGTCCTCCTAAATGTTACACAATGGATCTTTAAATTTAACAACTATTTGTTTTTCATTTATCAAACAAAAATGCAAACATTTGTTGGTTCCAACTTCTTCGTATTGCTGTATTTCTCCATTTTATATAATTTTTAATGGATTTTTTGTTGGGGTTTTTTTTTTTTATTGTTGGTCGGACAAAACAAGCAATATCCCACCACTGGGATAGGCATTTAGTAAAATGTTGTAGGCTTAATGAATAATCAAGCAACATAAAAAATAATCAACTGATTAATTAATAATGAAAATGGTTTGTTGCAGCCCAAATTCATGCTGTTATGCAATGCAAGGTATGCCTGTTGTTTATGTTTTATCTATAAATCTAATCTACCAGCTCCAAATTGGAGATTTGAAAGTTTCATGATTCGTGACAAAAACCTGACTCAAGTCTCACTCAAGTCCAAGTCACAGGTCCTTATTTTTGTCCACAACCTGTGCTGTATGCTATTACAGGTACCATCGTGACAAGCTCACAAAAAAATATTATATTGGAAAAGTATTGAGAGGCAATTGTGAACCTAGAGATATACAGCTGAAGAAATGTCACAACAAAAAGACGAAATCCCCCACTGTCATTATTTTTTGTTCAGGGACACATCTGCATTAGATTGGCATTTCAATTTAAGTTTGACACAGTTGTTTCCTTACAAAACTACCTTCATCTTGTCAGAGCTGTCAGGCGTGCTATTTCCTGTAGCGCTCAGTGTGGCAGCTACCTGCACCGGTAAGCCAGGGAACACAGTGGAAAGAACATTATAGGAACATGAAATTACAACAAACCTTGTTAGAGAAGATCTCCCTCAATACGCCCCCTCTCTTGTTTTGAGTCAGTTTGCACACCACATCCTGTTAACACTGCAGCAGGTATCACCTCTGCTAGGAAAGTACCAATAGACAAGTGTTTTTACAGAAAACCCACTGTGGTCGTATTTTTCCTTTCTCACTGGTGTCTACAAATGCATAGCAAGATGCGTTGTCTCAAAACCACACACTGATCACTCGAGACATCACCAGTCATGAATAAGAACAAGACAAAGGGTATCTGTTGACTGTTTGATCTTTAAGTTGAGCTTCAGGCAGCAGCCAATGCTTCATTCTGTCTGTGCAGTATGTGTTGCATAAAGCAACGTGTCTCACCCTCCCATACAGTATGCATGAGAAGGCTATTCTCATTTACAGGGCAGATCTCGACTAGAGATTGCAGTAGAGGCGGCACAGCGATCTGCAGCAGAGAATGACTAATATAAATCTCCATCCAGAGGAGTAAAAGCACTCACAATAACACCGGTGATCTCCCCGGGGGTTTCAGTACCCCGAGGAATGAATTATCTGAGGCAGACTTACAGTATACTGCCAGTGTGCTTAACCACCCATTTAATAGTATTTGTGGATAATTACTGGTGAGCAATGTCAGATGGAGGACTAGAACGTGGAAATGTCCTCACAATAAAACAACTAAACATTGTATGAGTCATTATTAAACAGATATTGCATCCATCTGTAGCTATCCTCTCAAGGTTGTACATTTAAAGGAGTCGGCTTGGTGTTATTTTATATTTTTCTTACTGTCATTAAATTCTGTGAAAAGACCAAAACCAACAACCCATATTTCATTATTTGGATTCTACTATAAAATTGCTCACAAATATATAGTTTATTTCTTTAAAAACAGGTGGTCACTGTAGTTCTTTTTTACAAATGTTAAACACAGGAGTAAATACTGCATTAGTTGGGGACTATTATGAGATTTACTCATAATAAATCACAGTTTCTAAGAGTCTACAGTCATCCTAGTGGCACTGTGAGGCTGCAGAGCTAAATGTTAACATCAACATGCTAACAATTATAATGCTAATATTCTGATGTTAACCAAATGTAATGTTTACCATGCTCACCATCTTAGTTTAGTGTTTTAGCATGTTAATTTGCACAATCAACACAAAGTACAGCTGAGGCTGATGAGAATGGCCTAAGTTTTGAAAGTATTTGGTCATAAATTACAGTACTGACCATATCACGAGTTAAAATGGTGACCCTAAATGACACTACATGAAAAGCTAAAGGACTATTTTTGCTCTACTTCATATGATCAGAAGCTGTGCAAGACTAGAGTGGGAAGAAAGGCTTTGTTTTTGTCACAGACCTTTGATATAAGCTGAGCCCACTCCTCCGTCCAGGCCCTCATTAGAGCCAGTTTATTTACTCTGCCTGTCACCAGAAATAGCTTTATGTCTCTTTTTGTCCTTCATCTCATCAATAGCATCTCCTCCCTCTTTGTAACACTCCCTCCATCTGGTGAAGGGTTGAACACACACACACTGATGCCCTGCAGGCTCGATTAACTCAGTGGGAATGACCCACAGGCCTTAACCCCAGAGAGTGAGGTAGGGAATATTGTGAGGGGAATATTGATCAAACCAGGTCCTCTGTGGTGAGGCAGCTGTTATGTAACGCAGTGTCAGTGAGTGGGAGATCCTCCAGAGAGGGTTTGATACGAGACAGAAAATATTTAACACTCTGTCTCGAAAGAATCACATAGGAATTAACATGCAAATAGAGACACATTTATCGTTTTGGGCTGTAGGGAATAGGGGCAGAAAAATACAAATGCCACATTCATGTCATATCTGGGTTACTGTAATTACTACTTCATTTTCTAAATTGTACATACCATTCAAATCAGAATCCAAGTCCTAATTACTACAGGGGAACTCACATTTCCTGAACGCAACAATATATTCATCCAGGCACTAAATCATTTGGAAGTGGCTGAAAATATCAAACGTATGAGCAGCCAAATTTTTGTTCAAGGTAATTAAATTCAGTGTTACTCACTAAAATGGATTGTGTGTACCCTTGAGGTCTAACAAAACGTGGTGACGGTGTTGCCTTCACTGGCACGTTAGAGCATATCTTGCTTGTTGTGTGTTACCTCCACCTGTAGATCAGTGAGAATGTGTGACACCATTGGCAGGAACAGGTATTGCGTTGCCGGCATACAAAAAGAATATAGTTAAGAACGTAATGTTAAGAGGCCATGAACATGCATACAGTTAGCATGTGAACAGACAGATCAGACAACAGCTAACAGATCAGTTCGTCATACCTGTTGATGGACAGGCTAAACAAAATTTTTATTTAGCAAATTAGCAAACATGCAAACATTCTTAACATATAAATCTTTTAGCATGCCGGCAAGCTAAGATTAGCCTGTTTGTTAAGCATTAAGCAGCGTAACACGATGGCACATGCTGTCCTAACATTTTTTTTCAAAGTACAGCTGCTGACGGGGAATTCAGACATTCGTTTTAGAGGTATATTCTGTCACATCCTGAGGTGTCGGACAGGTAAGGTCCGTGAACTGTGGTGCACAGTAAGTACATATTAACAGGCAGGCAGTAGATGTCAGAAATCTCCTCAATAACCGAGACGGTATTCTTAAGCTCAACTAGCAACCAACCCAACAACAATTTCAAACACCTCCTTTCTGTGAGAGAAATATTCTAATTTTCCCTGCTGGAAAAACCTAATTCCTCTATCATAATTGATTCTGTACTGCATCCTCAAAAAGGCACAACAAAATAAATTCCACATGAAAAAAAATGATGTGGGATTAATTAAACCATCCTATTTCCATTCAGCCTCGCCCAGACGACTTTTCATATTTAATCTCAAAGTGACACAGAGTTAAAAAGAAGCATTAGCCAGTCACATCTGCTGCATGCTGCTCCACTGATCAAAACACTGGTTAGAATTTTTAACTGCATCCATAGAGTTCATTTTATAAAAACCAAACATGACATTGACAAACATCTGAATAATAAAGCAGCCAGTCAGATTGAAATCCTCTCTGCATCTGCTGATAAAACTACTGGCTATTAAAACTGCCTGTTGTGCTGTTCATCCTGCAGCTATCCCCCATCAAACATGAGGGGATGATGAAACGCCACAGAATTAAGCCTGACGCTTGCAAAATTGTGTGCTGTTAATCAGTAGTGTCAGTTCCCTCAGTGGCTCGGAGCTGTTGATGGAACGTGATGGAGCTTCTGTCAAGCCCCTCGCCCTCTAATTTTGAGGCTGGGGGTCCAGCTGTCTGTCAGTCAGGATCAGATCCATATTTACCACACCCACATCCTACTGTGCCACCAGGATCAAGGCCGGGCACTGGGCTAAACTTCAAATGGAGGATGCTCATGTAAACTGACAAGAAGGGTGTAGAGACATTTAGATTTCAATTTAGAGTATAATGATTTTATCTTATTTGAGTGCACACAAAATACCCAACCCTCATGGGACACCGTACAGTGGTCAAACATTTCATTTTATTATACAATTACACATTATTTTACGGCTCTTTCTTAAAA